ATGCCATGTTCATGGCCCAGGACACTACGTATCACGGCAATCTCACTTCTCCTCAAGTGGATATGTAGATTCAATAAAAGTCCATTAAAACCTCAACACAGCATGTCAAAGAACTTGATAAATGGTTCCTAAAATGTGTATGAAAACATAGGACCAAGACTAGGCATAGCACAGTTGGAGAAAAATCAAGGTAGGAGTCCTGCACTACCAGATATCCGGACTTCTTGAAAGTGTGGTTATGGTCCAAAGGATTGACCTACTAGGACAGAACAGAAAGCTCAGAAATAGGCCTTATACAGATGGACACTTGATCATTGTAGGCACACGCTGCAGCTCCGTGGGGAAAGGAAGTAAACAAAAACAGAACAGTTGGTTACCCCTACCTCACACCATACCAGGGAATAACTTCCAGGGAATGTTTACATGTAATACACAATATAGTCAAAGGATTACGAAATAATCCTTGAGGATTAGAAGAAAATATAAGATAATATCTCTTCAATGTTGGGATAGGAAGGATTTCTGAAACAAGAGGCAAAAAGCCATAATCATAAAGAAAAAGATGAATTTGACTACAACAAAACCAGTCATTTCTGTTTGTCAAAGAAACAACAAAGAAAGTGAGAAGACAAGTTATAAACTTGGGTAAGATATTTGCCATACACCAGTGGCACTTTACGTAAAGATTATATAAGATACATAAATATAAAAGAACTTCTACAAGTCAATAAGAAGAAAACAAAGCATTCAATAAAAAAAAGAGGTCAAAGAACACAAACAGGTATTGTCTAGAAGAGGAAATTTGAAGATCCAATACGCATATGAAACTTGTCTCACTTTCTTAGTAATTAGGGAAGGGAAAATGAAAACCATCATGAACTACCATTTTACTCTCGATCTAGGAGCAAACAAACAAACAAACAAACAAATCAAACAAACAAAAAAACCAAGGCTTGTTAATATTCAGTGTTGGCAAGAATGTGGAAGAAGGAGAATGACTATGCAGCACAGGTGGGAATGTAAATTGGTTCAATTCCATGCAAAGCACAATATGGCAGAATCTTGTGAGTTGAATATTTGCACATCTGTGACCCAGTAATTCCACGTTCAGGTGTGCATAACAGAAATCCTTGTACACGTACACCAGACACCTTGTAAAAGAAGTGTTGGTAAAAGCACTGTTGTAGTGGCAAAAAATTGGAAAGAACCCAAATACTCATTGTTAGGAGAATAGGGAGGCCATTAAATTGCTTATTCACATAATAGACTGATATACAGCAATGAATTAAATAATATTATAGGCATTAACATGGATGAATCTTAGAAATAAAAGGTTGTGGGAGGAAGCAAGTCAGAGACCAAGACATGTATTCTATTACTACTTTTATAATGTTCAAATCCAAGGAAAACTACACTAGCAGTTCATAGGTAAGTGGTAGAATTATAAAGCAAAGCAGAGAATCTTGGGAGTTATTAATTCACCTGGATTGAGTAATTACTATAGAGGTTGGCTAATACATGGAAAATTGACATATTTTCATGGTTGTCTTTAGCTCTAAGAATAGATGTGTCTTTTTTATGTTTATTTATTTTGAGAGAGAGACAGAGACAGAGACAGAGACGGAGACAGAGACAGAGAGACAGACAGAGAGAGAGAGAGAGACAGAGAGTCTCAAGCAGGCTCCATGCTGTCAGTGCAGAGCCTGACATGGGGTTCGTTCTCAAGATATCAAGAACTTGAGCCAAAACCAAGAGTCTGGTGCTTAACCAGTGGGGCCACCCAGGTACTCCAGAGAATAGAGTTATCTTTAATGTCCCTCACAGGATATGGAGGTGAGGGATGTGGAGGGTAGGAGCTGGGGTATATGAGGGTCCCTGAACATGGGAGCCAACATTCCCTGCATCTCTGAGCATGAATGCTTCTCCTCACATCTAGAGGTGGTCCACTTCCCCTCTGCTTACGTCAGGGCTGGTTTTGTAACTTGCTTTGACCAACAGAGCAATAAACTTTCTGGAACTTTGGATTCCAGGCCTTCAGAGGACTGAAGTCTCTGCCTTCCTCTCTCTGGGAGCTCAGTTGCCAAACTGTAAGAAAGCCCAGGCTATTCACTGGAGGCCGTGCTGAGCCAGGCCCGGGATGGGAGGGGCACCTTGGATGCGGAGCCCAGCCAAGCTCCCAGCTGCATGCAAAGTAGGGGTGAGCAGCCAGTGAGAGCTGGTCAAACTCGGCCATCCCTCAGAACCAGGAAAAATAGTAGATTACCGTGTTAGGCCATGAAGTTCTGCGGTGGTGTGTTAGGCAGCAGCAAATGGAGAAGTGAATGCAAGAAAATCAGTGCTATTGGCACTGATTCATTCATTCATTTCATTAGATGACTGGTGGGTTTCCAGATACAGAACGGTCATGATGCTTTATAACTTCCATACTAGGGATTTGAACTTTTTTTAATGTTTACTTATTTTTGACAGAGAGAGAGACAGAGACAGAGACAGAGAGACAGAGCATGAGTCAGGTAGGAACAGAGAGAGAGACACACACAGAATCTGAAACAGGCTCCAGACTCCCAGCTGTCAGCACAGAGCCCGACGCAGGGCTCGAACCCACAAACCGTGAGATCATGACCTGAGCCAAAGTCAGATGCTTAACTGACTATGCCACTCAGGTGCCCCTACATACTAGTGATTTTTACATAGCATTATATATGTAGTAAATACTTTGCAGTGTAAGATATTTAACAAAAACGAAACCTTAACCTGAAGTGCAAAAATGCATCTTCCTAATTTTGATTTGTATTTTCTGTGTAAGTGCAATTAAACGTCTTTTCATGTTTAAGCAATGTTCCATTTGTATTTCCCTTACTGTGAACTGCCTATTCATATTCTTTGCCTGTTTATCTGTTGGGTTGTTCATTTTTCACGATTTATTTATTTATTTAAAAAAATTTTTTTGGGGCGCCTGGGTGGCTTAGTCGGTTAAGCGTCCGACTTTCGCTTGGGTCATGATCTCACGGTTCGTGGGTTCAAGCCCCGCGTCGGGCTCTGTGCTGACTGCCAGCTCAGAGCCTGGAGCCTGTTTCAGTCTGTGACTCCCTCTCTCTCTGACCCTCCCCTGCTCACACTGTCTCTCTCTCTCTCTCCTAGAAATAAATAAAAAATGTTAAAAAAAAAAATGTTTAAAAAAAATTTTTTTTAATGTTTTATTTCTGAGAAAGAGAGAGAGAGAGAGACAGCGCGAGCAGGGGAGGGTCAGAGAGAGAGGGAGTCACAGAATCTGAAGCAGGCTCCAGGCTCTGAGCTGTCAGCACAGAGCCTGATGCAGGGCTCGAACCCACGAACCGTGAGATCATGACCTGAGCCGAAGTCAGACGCCCAACCGACTGAGTCACCCAGGCGCTCCTCATTTTTCATGATTTATAAGAATGTTGCCTATCAGGAAAATAGACCTTTTTATGTCCTAGGTTTCAAAAACTTCTCCCCCAGTGTCCCTTAAAAACCTTTTGACTTTGTGGTATGTTTTGCTGTCCATAAATTCTAGTTTTTCATAGTCCAAGTTGTAATTGGTGGGTATCATACTTAGGTTTTCCCTCTTTTAAAAATTCTTCTAAATCACTTAGAAGTACTTTTATGGCTTCATTTCATACTTAAAAATTTTGGTTTATGCAGAATTAATATTATTACTGGAAAGTAGGATCCAGGTTAATTTTTGTCAAAATGGCTAGCCAGTTATTCCATTAAAAAAAAAAAAAAAAAAAAACCTGACGTCGGGGCACCTGGGCGGATCAGTTGGCTAAGCATCCAACTCTTGATTTCAGCTCAGGTCATGATCTCATGGTTCGTGAGTTCGAGCCCCACATTAGGCTCTGTGTGGCCAGTGCCTGCTTGAGATTCTTTTTCTCCCTCTCCCTCTCTCAAAATAAACTTAAACACCACCCACAAAAGCAGAGGTGCCTGGGTAGGTCAGTTGGTTAAGTGTCCACCTCTTGAATTTGGCTCAAGTCATGATCTCATGGTTTGTGAGTTTGAGCCCTGCATCAGGCTCTGCACTGACGGTGTGGAGCCTGCTTGGGATTCTCTCCCTCTCCTCTTGTGCACATGCACTGTCTCACAAAGTAAATAAATAGTTTTAAAAAATCCCCCCAAAACTTAAAAACCAAAGCCAAAACGCACATATGCCCCATTAAACTTCCTTGTGTATAAGGACATTTCCAGACCCTCCATTGAGTCCCACTGACCTTTTCCTTTGCTACATGGAACTCTTAATTGTAGTAGTTTTTAATGCTTACTACCTGGAGGCTGTTTGTTCGTTCCCCTTATGAGGACTTCCAGACTATTCCCCATGTTTATGTCCCAAAAGAACCATGTCAAGTTAAACTATAAATCCCGTCAGCATTTTAATTGTGATTGCATTGCATGTGGATTGCCTTTGAGAACAAGGTGTGTCTGCACAAACTTGAGTCATTAATGTCCCTCACGGGTTTATTGAGCCAGACCAGCGGCAAGGACGTAGGCACCCACCCTCACCCCAGGTCCCGCAAGGTCCACCCTCCACGCCGCCAAAGCTCCGGGAAGCTCTCCCACCGCCTCCTCTGCAGAAGGAGACCCTGTGACTCATGCCAACCTCAGCTCAGATCCACCGAGGTGGTTCCTAATTGCCCCGAAACTGTGGAGAACACTGCATCGTCCTTGTGCTTAGGGCAAGCAATAATGATGTCATCCTCCGTGTAGAACAAGACTCGGTGGTTTATAGGCACTTAAAAGCAGCATGACCTTGGGCAAGTTACTTCCGGTCTCCAAACCCTTTCCTCCTCCTCCTGTAAAATGTGAATCAACCTAGCCCGGCCTGGTGTGAGGACCGAGGGGGATTGAGGAGACATGGATGCTCCTTGGCGGCACCTCTGCTGGCCTCCCCACCCTCCCCACACAGGCCACCTCCCCCCCAGCCTGCAGGATGGGGCGCCCCTGCCCGGCGCCCTCCCCTCCCTCCTACTCCCAAGTCAGAGTCAGAAGTCAAAGATCTTTATTGTTCTACAGACACTTCTGAAAAGGGATCTAATTGAGAAAATATACAAAGCATTTAAGAGTTTCATCTCCAGAGAGCACCTAAGTCTGGCTGGAGGCGTCGAAGCCTCCTCTTCAAGGCTCAGGGCTGAGAACGGTTAGCATATTGAATGATCAGTAAAAACATGCAAAAGTGAGAAGGAAAAGGAAAAAAGGCTGCATTCCTCCAAAGCCAAGGGGTACGGAATTTCAGAACGAGGAGGAGGCAGGGTGTACAAGTACCAGGTGGCTCTCCCTTTCCCCCACAGTATCTTCTAAAACAGCTCCAAGCTTGGAGAAAGCAACGAGCCCACCCCCTCGTCTCTGCTCTGCGCTCAGCCCCGCGAGGCTACCCGCCTTGCTCTGTCCCCTTCCTTGTGGCCACGGCTGCAGGACCCCACTTGTGCTCCCGGGGGGCCAGGGCTAGGGGCCCTGGCTCCTCCCTTCTTTGGTTCCACTCGGAGAACGATTGTGCTTGACAGACTCATCCCCACCCCTGGCTCCAGGCTTCCACTGGTGGGGGAAGGCACTGACAGGAGCCCTGGTGAGGGCCCAGGACGCCATCTTCCCTTGTGCTCTGGGAGGGTCCATCCCAGGGCACACTTCTCTACCCTCAGCCCAGATCCGGGCATCTGGACACGGGAGAAGTGTGCTGTCCAAGGAACAAACCTCTTGGGACTTTCCCAACTGTGCAGATATTTCTGAACCCCACACCACACCCCACCCTGGCCCCTTGCCCAGCACCCCCACGTGCCTGGCCCCCCACCCAGCCCGTCCCCTGGGCTGCAAGTGCAGCTGTGGGCTGGCCCCAGCGGACCTGACTTCAGGACGGTGGTCCCAGAGACCACCTTGTGGCGCCCTCCTGCCCCCCAGACCTGGGAGCTCGGAAGAGGTGGGGCCTCGAGAGGTCACGGCTCTGGTACAGGGAGGTGGGCAGGGCTGGAAAGGAACCAGGAGACACGTCACATCTATGGAAAGGTCCAAAGTACAAGCGAAGCGAGGGGAAGGAGGAGGAGGGCCAGAGTGGCCAGAAGGGAAGAAAAAGAAGAGGGCGGGGGCGGGGCCTGGAGGGGGCGGCCCTCACACCACCCCGCAGATGAGGGTCTCCACCACGAAGGTGTTCTCGAAGTGGCGGATGGCGTTGCAGTTGCTGGCCCCTCGCTTGTTGATCCCTGGGAGGGAACAGAGAAATCGCAGTGAGGACCGTGTCCTGGCCCCGTGCTGGCCGGGCTGCAAAGGCAATCGCCTGGGAGCCTGAGTGGCACCGTAGGACCTCGGGACCTCGGGGCGGTGGGGTGGGGGCGAGGCAGCCCAGGAAATGACACCCAGACTCACTGAGAGACAGTGCACTGAAGGGGTGAGAGCCCAGCTCTCCCACCTTCCCTGCTGTGTGACTTCAGGGGTGTTACTGAACCTCTCTGTGCCTCAGTTTCCTCCTCTTTCGAAGGGACAGCAAGAATAATGACGGTGGTGATGAAAACTCACGCTGTCTCAGAAGGACGTAAAGAGTGTAAACCAGGGCCTGGCACGTAGGAAGTGCTCAGTCACCATTAGCTGTTCGTTCCCTGAACTGCGGCTACCGTCTGAGCTCTGTGAAAGCTGCTCCCCAGCCGCGGGGCCAGGCGCTGCCAGGTGACGGCCCTGGTTTAGAGCTCAGGGCAGGGGCCCACACGGGGGGGGGGGGGGGGCTGGCCACTCACGCCTCCGCGTAGCCCGGCGCCGCAGCCGGTAGGTGTCCTTCCCGCTGCATAGGTGGTAGATGAAGGAGCCCAGGGACTCCTTGTCGCTGACGTGCTCGGTGACCACCATCTCCTCCTGGATGATGTATGTCTGCGGGAGGTAGGTCCCTCTCTGCAAAGGGAGAAGCCGCAGCGCTGGCTCAGTACCCCAGGGGGATCCTGCTTCAGGCTCCACAGCACCCAGGGCTCTCCTCGCTCGGGCCCCACTTGCCCACCACCCACTCCCCGCTCGCTCCAGCGGAGTCCTGTCCGCACACGCCCGCCTCGCCACCCAGAGGCCCCGTGGTTCGCCCTTCTGACGTCTCCAGGCACCTTCTGTTTGTGCCAAGCGCTTGTGCCCTCCTTGCCGCACGCGTGGGGGGTCTGGTCTCCCTGGGGAGTGGTGGTGGGGGCGGTGACCCCACCTGTTCCCTGCACTGCTGACGCGGGGCAGGGCCTAGGGGGCCGCGAAGCTGGAGAGGGAGGCGGAAGCATGGTGGGGTGAAGAAGAGGAGAGGCGTGGACTCTGGGGGGGGGAGAGGAAAGATGGAGGAGGAGGGGACCAATCCGGGGTGCTGGGCCACCTGGCTCCCACTGCAGGAAGCTCCCTTGTCCCAGGCCTGGCCTCCACGAGGGGGCGGGGCGAGATGCCAGCGACGCCGCTGCTCACCTTCACGTTCATGAGGAGCTCCCAGAAGTTTCGGGGGGGCAGCACGATGGTGGTGTTGAGCTCGATAACATAGCACTTGTCCAGGGAGATGTCATGGTACGCAGTGAGCCCCTGAGCAGGAGGTGGGTGTGTCAGGCTCTGCAGGCGAGGGCCTGGCCGGGCGCCCCCTTTCCCGGCTCCTCTCCTAGCCTGCGTTTGCGGGGGCTCCCACGCACTACGTGAAAAACACCAACCGTCCAGGGCCTCGGCTGCTACAAGGGTCCTTTCCAAGGGGTCACAGAGTTGAGGTTTGGGGAAGACAATAATGTTCCAATCGTGCATTTCATCAGACCCCTGAGGTACCGGGATCCCTGTGGACAGTCTGGACCCTCAGCAGGAGATGCTCTGTCCCTGGCTCTCTGTGGGTTTCAGCGACAAGATAAGATGGTCCAGGAAGCAGAGAGAAGGGATCATCCCGGACAACCCCTAGGAAGCTCGGGGAAGCAAGTGTGGGGGACAGGGAGCTGGAGAACCTGTGGTTCACTGGCCTCAGAACGGTCACTGGCAACAGAAGTGCAAAGGATCGTTTACCTCTGGGGAGGGGGTACTGACTGGGTTACTGACTGGGGTAGGGGGACGGTACCAGGGAACCTTCCAGAATGCTAGCAAAATTTCCAGACCTTGATCTGGGCAGCACTACACGTAGGCCTTTGCAAAAATCCACTAATGCATTAAGTGTAATGCTGTACACTTAATGCACTTGATGGTAGGCGTGCTATACCTCCATGGAACCTCAACACAAAGTACCCAACTGGATGGAGCACTGGCCTCGCCCGTGACAGCCAGCGTCTGCACTAGTTCACGTTCAGTGACAAACACTAACCTATACAACGACAGCCACGTCTTTAAAATCTGACAACCCTAACCCGCAGACGTACTTGCCATCACACGGTACATACTCAAAGGAGGTACTATGGACTCTGGTATTCTCCTCTCGCTCCTGCTCTCCCTTCTCATGACCCTTGGTGGAAGGGGGGGCTCTGGGTCCTCAGGACACCCTTCGACCACTCCTGCCCCAGCCCCGGCCGGCCTCACCCGCTGGAAGTCATGAATGATGTCCGCAGGGTCGCCGCCACCAAACTGGGGCACGGGCACATTGATGCGCTCATAGTTCTCTTCGAGGTAGATCTTCACATCTTCCTCTAGCTCCATGCGAGTGTGGGCCTGCGAGGACAGGGAGTCCTCGTAGAGCACGCCGCAGTGGAAGAAGTTGTCCCGGGCCAGCTGGGCAAGGGGGGGAGGGGACAGACAGACAAGTCATACAGCGCCCTCGGCATAGCCACGCCTACCCCACCGCGCCCCCTAAGGCCTGGGCAAGCAGGACGTGTGGGACTATGAGACCCATTTCACAGATGGAGAAACTTAGGAACACGAGGCGTCACGGAGCGTTGAGCGGGATCTGCCAGGTCCCAAGTGGATAACCTCTCTGGCCCTCAGTTTCCCCATCTGTGAAACGAGGTGAACCATCAGGCTTCTTCGGGCCTCTGGGTCCAGGAGTCTGTGACTGAAATGGGATGGATTGGAAGGGGTAGGCCCCAGCCACCATGCGCCCTCCACAGAGGGACAGACACCCAACCAAGGGCCTGGAGCGGCTGGGAGGGCCCTCAGGGGCAAACATAGGAGCCCCAGCTTGAACAGGCTGGGTGCCCAGGAGCGGCCTAACCGCTCCACCAGCAAGGCCAGGGGCGCTGTGTGACCTGAGGCCCAGTGACTGCGCGGGCGCGCCCATATGCCCACGTGCACTTCTCCAGGCTCCTCCGGGTCTGTGTGCAGACTCCTGGCCTATCACGGGCAGAATTCCCCTTTCTGTTTCAGTGTATGCTCTCCCAGAGCGTGAATCATCGCTCATGAATCATACTGTCCGGGGCACGGACTCGGAGGCCGTTCTGAGGTTCCCCTGTTCCCCAGCAGTGGGGTGGGGTGAGAAGCCCAGGAGGGACAAGCTGGGGCTGGGAACAGAGGGGACCAGGAGTCAGGCAGGGCCCTAAGGGCCACAGCAAAGGGCCGAGAAGAGGGCTCCCACAGGAAAGGGAGAACCGGGGACACGTGGGGAGCTGGCCATGGAAGGGAGGAGGCGGTGGGGGGGGGGGAGCCAAAAAAAAAAAAAAAGAAAGAAAGTCAGCAGGTGTGTGGGAGCTGAGGTTTCTAGGGGAAAGTCACATGGAATACAGAAACTCTTCAGTAATTTCCATCATGGAAAAACCAAGTAACAGAGTTAAAAGCCAATGCTTGAGGGTGTGAGGTCACTTGGGTCATAAACGACCTCTTTGTCACTCTGAGATTCCCTGTTCGGTGCACTTAACGGTTATTCTTTTGATCTTTAATTTAACTCCCTTGGTGGCACTGTCTCCCTCCCCAGATCGGGGCTGAACACAGGTCACCGTGACCATGACCCGTCCTCGAGCTCAGCTCCGTGCCCTCACTTGGCTGTGTGAGTAGATAACAGGCTGCCATCACAGGCGGAGGCCACCCCTTGCAGGAAGTGGGGGTGAATCTGTCCATTAACCGGCTCTCTGCCTTCCTTGTTTTGACACCCAAACAAACGTCCAAGGTCCAAGGAATGGAACTCTTAAGGGCACAGGGCCCAGCCCTAGAGGGATCGCAGAGTTCCGATTTCTGCTGGATCTGAGTTTCCCGGGATAACACTGCAGGGTAATACTTGGGAAGGGGCGATGGATTCCAATCCCAGCTCGCCCGCCACTAACCGTGCTCCTGGGAGAGCTCCTGGGTGGCCTTGGGGGTGTCTGGAGATGTGGCTAAGGACCCTCTTCCAGGGTCCGAGGGGGTCAGAGGACAGGGCTCCGGTCCCGTCTCCTGGACCAGGCGAGCGGCCGGCGTGAGCCCAAGGAGGCCCCACAGAGGGAGCAGGCAGGTCGTCTGCGCTTGGCTCGGGGCAGGTCACCTGCTGTCCTCTCTCCTCACAAGCCCTAAGCACCTGGCTCTCAAGTGCCCACCTTCACTTCCGGGCTAGCTCCTCTCTAAGCACTACCTTCCCTGAGCCCCACACCTCCCTCCCGCCTGGGCTCACCTGTGCGAGGAAGAAGTATCTGTAGATGTAGACGGAGGCGAACACGAGGCCCATGAGCAAGACGACCATGCCCATCGACAGGTAGCACACGCCGCCCACAGAGCCCCCCTTCTTGTAGCGGTGGGGGGGGGGCCGTTCCTCCTGTGGACAGCAGTGCCGGGTCAGCCAGATGGTGGGCCCACACCTCTGGGAATCCTCCTACCCCCCTCCCCAAAGTGAGACCTCGCCCTGCCAGCAGCGAGGGAGGCTTGGGACAAAGTGGAGGGGGAGAATGGCACTGGGGACCCACAGAGCATCATCTATCTGGAAGGGATGCCTTGCCAGGGTCTCCCCAGCTTCCTCCCAGGTAAAGAGAAACTGAGGGGGCGCCTGGGGGGCTCAGTCGGTTACGCTTCCGACTTCAGCTCAGGTCATGTTCCTTCGGTTCCTGAGTTCGAGCCCCATATCCAGCTCTGAGCTATCAGCTCAGAGCTGTGCTGTGCTGTGTGCTGACAGCTTAGAGCCTGGAGCCTGCTTCGGATTCTGTGTCTCCCTCGCTCTCTGCCCCTCCCCCACTCATGCTCGCTCGCGCTCTCTCTCTCTTTCTCTCTCTCAAAAATAAACAAACACTAGGGGCGCCTGGGTGGCTTAGTCGGTTGGGCGTCCAACTTTCGCTTGGGTCATGATCTCGCGGTTCGTGGGTTTGAGCCCCGCATCGGGCTCTGTGCTGACTGCCAGCTCAGAGCCTGGAGCCTGTTTCAGTCTGCGACTCCCTCTCTCTCTGACCCTCCCCTGCTCACGCTGTCTCTCTCTCTCTCCTAGAAATAAATAAAAAAAATTAAAAAAAAATTAAAAAAAAACAAAAAAAAAACACTAAAAAAAATTTTTTTTTAAAGAGAAACTGAGACCCACATCAAAGCCATACAAAATGACCCCCCAGGATTAAGCAGGCACATCTGGATTACCCATGCCATTAGTACCCTTTCTAATGTCGGCTGTGACCACCGTATATGCCTTAAACACAGAATGGGGGAAGCACAGACGTGGCCTTAATAATAATTGCACCAGACCTAGGAGCCTATAGGAAACAGGGCGCACTGGGCAGGCTGGGGGCCAGGGAAGGCTTCTGACCCACCTGAAGTCTGCGGCACTGGGAGGTGCCTGCTGGGCTCCAGCCATAAGGCCATGGCAGGGCCTGGTCACCAGCTGATGGAGAGAGCTTCCAGGAGGCCCATGCTGGTCTCCCTCGGGCCCGGCAGCCCTAAGCCTGCGATCCCTGCGGGCACAGCTCAGCTACGGCCCCACACAGGCACCGGCTGGCAGTGTCCAGCAGGCTGTCAGCAGTGAAGCCTGAAGGCTAGAGTCTGGAGGCTCCTGGAAGCCAGGGTGCTTCTTCTGCCAGGAGGGAAATGTGGCTATCGTGGCAGCGGCTGCCATCAGGGAGGCCAGAGCGGGAGACTCCCAGAAAAAACCTGAGTGCTCTGGGGTGCCAGACTTGGGCTCAGGAGAGTAGCCGCAAGTCTGCCAAGCAGCGGCATGTTCAACTGACCGACCTTCAGGGCACACGTGTCTGGGCTGGTGGATGAAGGTGTGTGTGTAGATCTCCTGACACCACTTTGCCCAGAGCACCGGACTGAGAGTCCTGAACGAGTCGTGGCCATCTCTCTTGTGTGTGCACGTGCTCCCTCACACCCCTGCCCTAACCCAGGCCCTCGCCCACCCTGGGAGATGCCACAAAAGCCCAGGCCTGTCTCTGCCTCCACTGTCCACCATTCAAAGCCTCCTTTATGGTGTCCAGACACAGCCAGGGTGAGGTCAGAGTCCAGGCCCAAGGCCTCCCCACCCTCCATGAGCTCAGGCAGCATGGGGGATGGGAAGGAGCTGTCTCCACACAGGCATACACTCCACGTAAGCCACAGACTGCTTAGACTTCTTCATGCATGTTTCCTTTCTCCCTTTACGCTGGGGGGCAGGGGACACAGTGCAGGTCCAAGTTACCCTGGAGAAGCTCTTATCTCAGCCCAGCACAGGGGGCCTGACCTGGTGGGGGTGGGGCCCAGGGCCTGTGGTAATGCTCAGGTCCCAATCCCTGAGGCCCCCTGGCTCAGGGAGCACAGGGGAGAACCAGCAGATGGCAAATGCCTCCAGGCTCGGGGATCTCTCAACAGCCTCGAAGCCCGGGAAAAGGACAAAAATACCACAGGACCCTCCCCCTCCCTGGGCACATCCACCACCGGACCAGCTGGCCCCCGGCCTCTGCACCGTGGGAGAGACACAGGGCAGAGAGGTGTACCAGCCCACCTTGTCCCCCAACATCGCGGGCTGCCTTCCAGGGGTTCCCTGGGCACTCTCCGCACCCCAGCCCTGCTGCAGGGGTCCTGTGGTCAAGACCAGAGAGGTAAATTCATGAGACCACCCACCTGGCTGGCATCTCCTCTGCACCCTGGGGTCCCCTAACCAAGGTCTCACAGGGCCCAGGGGATTATAACGGTTTTGACTTTCCAATGGGCTCCCAGGAGCAGCACAGAACGGGGCAGCTGGACGGCCAAGGTGTCAGTGTCAGAAGCCACCCAGGGCCTTCTGGGGAGGAGGTGGTGGCTGATCCGGAAGACAGGCCAGGCGGCTGTGCCAGCTGTGATCCCGCCCTTGGAGCTGACATGTGCAGCGGGGTGGGGTGAGCAGTTGACCCCAAGTTGAGAGAGGCCTCCACAGGGGCCAGGACCCCATGAGGGAAGTGTGAAGAGGCAGGGATTGAAGGAGACAAAGAACCTGAAAGCCCTTTGTCAAGGACAAAGTATTAGATAAAAACAGCAGATCTTTATCAGCTGAAACTTTCCTTTTCAGGGCCAATGCCAGGGACAGCTGTGGAGGCTGCACCCTTGGCCATGCTTTGGCTCCTGCGCTGGGAAACCGAGAGAAGCAGGCTTGTGAGAACTGCTTTTAAAAACAACAAAAAACAGGGGCGCCTGGGTGGCTTGGTCGGTTGAGCGTCCAACTTTCGCTTAGGTCATGATCTCGCGGTTCGTGGGTTCGGGCCCCGCGTCGGGCTCTGTGCTGACTGCCAGCTCAGAGCCTGGAGCCTGTTTCAGTCTGTGACTCCCTCTCTCTCTGACCCTCCCCTGCTCACGCTGTCTCTCTCTCTCTCTCTCCTAGAAATAAATAAAACATTTAAAAAAAAAAAAAGAACAAAAAACAAAACAGAGTCAATGGGCCACAAGCGGGAGCCTGAGGGCCTGCTCCATAAATGAAGTTCACAGGCAAGAAGGCCTACGGGTTTTAAAGCAGCCTTTCTGCTTCTGGCTGGGTCAGGTGTTTACAAAGTGCCTGGGGCATGGGGGTGGCTATAGCACTGAGAACACAGCCTCCGGCTGGCCTCCTGGATACTGCCCTGCGTCCTTAATCTGTGGGGGTCACTGTGAAGGTTGATGGTCCACCAGCTTTCCTAGGTGTGCAGCGGACATACCCTTCACAGGTCCGGGGCTAACAGAGCGCCCTGTCCCCCCTTTACTGACGCCCCTGGTGGGTGCCCGAGCCTCCCCCCTGCAGGGCCCAAACCCTAGAAACATCATGGCTGAGCAGCACGCAGGAAGGGAACGCAGGACCAGAAGCAGACTGGAAGCCAGGGACGTCCCTGCTTTGAGACAAAAGGCACTTCAGACATCGAGCCCCAGGCAGGAGAAAGGGCCCCCGAATCCTGCCCCGAAGGTGCCATTGCTTGCTGGGCCCCGCACTCCATATTCTGGGGACTCCTGGCTGTCCAGCTCACCCAGAAGGACTGTGGAGAAGCCTGCTTCCTGAGACCCCCAAGCTGCTGCTTCACTTGTGATGCTGGAGACCCAGGAAAATGCTGCCCCCCGCACGGAGCAGCCAGACATTTGGGGGGCTTTCCGTTTGGAAAGTGGAAAAACATTGCATACTGTTTCCAAGGCAACTGGGCTTTCTGAGCAAAGCGCTCTGCTGTGCACTCGTGTGGGGCATGTGAGCCTGCCGTCCAGGGACCTGGAGGGGCCCGGGCCTCGAGGCCGGCAATGGAGCTCATTAAATGATTTAGCAAAGCCAGGGCCACAGCGGTCAAGGGGAACCCAGCCAACTGGAGCATTAACTCAGTGGACTCCCACGGCTCCTGGAGGTCCCCCCAGCTAGAGTCTCTCAGTAACAATGTCCAAATTAACTGCAAGCAGATTAAACTACAATCGCAGGCTGCCGGGAGGAGGCTGGCAGGGGGGCCAGAAATGCACTTGCTGCAGCCGAGGCTGACAGCTGGAGGGGGAGGGGCTCCTGGGAGGCCTCCTCCGTATCCTTCTCCCTCAGCATCTTTCTTTCCTAGGCTGCAGACCACAGATTCAAGGGCACCAGTGCGCGCGTGCGTGAGTGCATGTGTGTGTGAGTGCGTGCGTGCGTGCGTGTGTGTGTGAAAGAGAGAGCGAGAGAAAGAGGGAGAGAGACCAGGTGAGGGCGGTGCAAGTGGGCAAATGGCCACTGTCCACTGAGCACAGAGAGCTGTGTTTAATGTACAAATGCCCAGGGGACGCATGGATTCGCTCTCAGTGGAACCCCATTCCTGTCGTGTGGCTCAGCGGCCTGGGCACACGCCCGCGAGGAAGCACAGCGTGGACCCTGCACCACCCTTCGCTTGGCCAGGCTGGCCCATTCTCTCCTCTATTCGGTCCAAGATGAGACTAGAGAGAACAAAGGCTCCGAAGGATGAGAAGCAAAGCTGGCTGCTGGCAAGAGCTCCCCTGGGGGAGAGAGAGCTTGGAGAGTGTGTGTGTTGGGGGAGAGCCAGGCTGCGCTTCCGTGATTTTACCATAAACATTTTTTTTTTCTGAGAGGAGCTCATCTTCCCTGGCGGTGCTGACAGCCTTGAAACATGCAAGGACCGGCCCAGAAAAGCGAATAGAAAAGAGAGGGAAATAGAGACAGAAGAGAAAAGCCACTGTGGCGTGTGCCCAAAAGCCAAAGCCCCTCTGGGAAGGCCCAGGGCGGACCACACGAAGGGGGCGAAGCCCCCACCCCTCCACGAGGCAGGACAGGATCATCCCGGCCACCTGTCCACAAAGGTCCTTCAGCCCAGCGGGCAGGGCCAGCGGGTCCTGGGGCACTGGGGCAGGAAGACTCCACGCCCACCAGATCCGCCCTCCAGGCTGGCAGGGGACCCTCCCCCAACCACTCCCGGAGACCCAGCTCCCTCCTGCCAAGGGCCTGAGGCCAGGACTCAGAAAGTGAAATCTGATCCCCAGGTATGCAGCTGGGGGAGGGGGTGACACAGGAGCCATTAATCAAAGGCAAGGCCAAGGAGAAAATTACCCGCTGCTGAGATGATGGCATTGAACATGTCTCTCTCCTCTTGCAGTACCCCCGGCCCATTTGCAGCCCCCCAGGCCAGTCCCATCTGTACACGCCCACACCTGGCTGCCTCTGTGTGTGTGTGAGCATGCACTTAGGCACAAGTAGATGGACGGGAGAGGGGAGCTAGTCTGAGAGGTGCAGGGCTGGCCAGAGGGTGCAAAGAGGGGGTGCTTCCCGGCCAGCCCACTTTCCAAGCTGGCTTCCGGCCAGTTGCCCAGTCGCCCATCAGCGCAGGCTTCTCATTATCTCTGAGGCAAGTGCCAAGGGGAGGGTGGGCAGCTGGAGGCCCAGCTGGGCCCCCACCCCCTTCCCTTCCCGGCCCAGCCCACTGAGGCACTTCCTTCCAGCAGCAGGTCTGGGGACAGAATCCTCCTTGTGCTTCAGTTTTTGCTCGGAAGCAGGGGGAGCCCCGCTGTGGGGGGGGGGCTGCTGAGGCCTCACCCTGGCCCTGTTGGGCTGCACACAGGTGGACACTTTGATCTAACAGCCACGGGGGAGCTCACTGCTGAGGACACTCATTCACACACTCGTCTGTTCATCAAGTGGTCCTTTTCGGGCTTTAAATCTGATTGTGGAGTCCAGTAACCAAGGAGGGTTCTCGGGTCACGCTCAGCCAGAGGACACCTTCTACAAAGCTTTCCTCTGCATCCCCACCAGCATGGGGCAAACCTCAACTGCTCTGTCTTGATAAAGTAGATGGCCAGGCCTTCCAGTCTGCCTGCGTGTCCCACCTACCTTCTCCTTCTAATAAATGGTACCCTAATAATGGTGGCACTGTGTCTGAATGCTGGATGCCTGTTGTGCTCACAGCAGAGACAGGAGGGGGGGCTCGATCCATGCCTTGGTTATTGGAATTGAGAAGCGTGCCCCTTGGCCAGGTGAGGGCACATCAGAGCGGTGAACTCTCTTCCCCACTCCAATTCCAGCAGGCAGTTGGCAGAACCAACCAGCAGGCTACATCCAAAGCCCCCTAAGGACCTCGGGAAGCTGTGACAGTTTACGGCTATGCACTTCTGTCCTAGCGGTGGGGGGATTCTGATCCTCCTCCTGTGGACCCCCGGGCTCCTCCTTGCCAATCAAGACAGCTAGGGGACCTGCCTAGCTAACGAGGTTTGGGACAGGAGGCTGGCTCGGCAGGCTCAAGGCCATTCCAAACAGCACCAGGAAGATGTTGATATTTCCACTTCACACGGGGTGAGGAGGAAGAGAGGATGCCCGATTTCAGAGCCAGAAGCCAGTTGTCAAGTTACTGCCAAGGTGATGCTGGCGTCTGCCATCCAGCCTGACACCATCAGGAGGCTGCTGGTGGAGAACGTGCCACTCCGGGGAGACTTGGGGGACCTTCTCAGAGTCTGAATTACATCCTCCTACTGTCTGGCTGGGTTTCTCCTTCCACTTGAATCCTGGGGCTCTCAGAAGCAGGGTCCTGAATTCCAGGCCTGGGCTGGGCAGCAGGCCCTGGGAGAAGAAAGGGGCCAGCCAGGTCCCATCTCTGCTCCCTCCCTGGACTGAGAGGAGGGGAGGAGGCGGTTTCCTTGGTGAAATGAAGAAAGACGCTTGAAGAGACCTTTGCAAACTTTTAAAGCTGCACACCATGGGCTTCAAATACGGAATGCTCCCGACCTATCTAAACATCGGACGACCATGGAGTTGGTCTGGTCAGGGGTGCAGAGCAACCCCCCAACCTAGCCCAGGTGGTCTTGGATGATGCAGCGACCACACAAGGGCAGGGGAGCTGGCCTGAGGCTGCTGGGAGCATTCTACACTCTGGATCTCTGCTGGGGCTGTGACACCCACCCCTGAGGCCCCTCTCCCGCATCCTCTCTAGCAAGGCCCAGGGCTCAAGTCTTCCCCAGCAGCAACCGCAATACTTCAGGCAGGGTAGAGTCTGAGCCACAAAACTTGGGGAGGGACCTTGCACTGAGGGAAGACCCCTCAGAAGCCGGCAGGGGGTTAGGGAAGGGGAGTGGACAAAGATTTCGGAAGTCCAGTGTCAATGGGACGGCTTGGTGCGACCCAAGACCGCCATGGCCGCCCGCTACGTGGACACCTTTGCCGGGGCACAAAACAGCCTGGCTGGACCAGCTCTCCCTCCCCTCGCCTGGCCTCCCTGGCCGCCACGCGTCCTGCCCTCTCCAGGTCACACTCCACGCAGCTCAGACAGTTTTCCACTGGCGGAAATGCCTTCTCTCCCCCCAGGCAGGAGGGAAGGAGGAGGAGGAGGGGGCAGGACGCCGGAGGGGGCGGGGTGCAATGAGGCCCGCCCCCACAAAGAGCATCCAGGATGCGGGAGGGCACCGGGGCAGTGGGGGAGCCTCCCCGCAGGATGGAGGGAGCTGCCCAGAGCGAGAGCCGGGAGAGGAAGGAAGCCGGGAGCTGGGAGGCCCAGACGGCATGGAGTGCGGAGATCAGGGCGAACCCCGAACCTCAAACCTCGAATCCCGGACGTGCAGCCGGGCCGGTTCTGGTTTATTTCCATTTCATTACTTTCTGACCCACCCATTTAGGTGCAGACCAGCAGCACATTCCCCGCCTCCCCATCACCCCCCTTTAGGGACGAAATCAATGGCCCCTCCCCCTTCGTTGGCACCAGACTGCTCCCACCCCCGCCTTTCCCCACCAGTCATGACCCACCCCCCACTTTGGGGAAACCGCGTCCAACTCCCCTCCCATCCCCCACCGGGGGACTCGACTCTCGGCCCCTCCTCCTTGATTAGAACCAGACGCATACCCCCCACCAACATTCCACCAACTTATTTCTACCAGCCCCTTACCCTGTCTTGGGGCCAGCCGCTTAGCCCCTCCACTTTTGGAAGAGACCTCGAGCGCTTCCCCCCCTGGGGACCAGCGACTCGGACCCCTCCCACTCTTCGGACTTTTGCCTTCGGCCGCCGCTTTAAGAGAGGACCCAAGCCTCCTCCCCGCTCTGGGATGAACGGCCCATCCCGGACCCTCACGGCTCGGGGACCCCCATGCGCCCCAGCAGTTCCCAGGGCCGGCGGGGCGCGCCTCGACCCCCAGCCCCTCTTACCCGAGCCGGCGTCAGCAGGATCTCAGCGGCCGGGGCCCGCGCGGCGGCCGACGCCGACGCCTTGTCGGCCTTGTCGGCCTTGATGCCGGCCACGGCGGGCTGGAAGCTGATCTTCACCATGGCTGCGCCGGGCCGCGCGTCCGCCCTGCAGCCTCTGCCCGTGCAGCCTCTCTCGGTGCAGCCGTCTCTCCGCGCTCTGCAGGCACCGGAAGTTTGGACGGCGTTCGCGTCCCTTTCCCTAACCCCGCCCCTAGTCCGCCCCGCCCCGCCCCGCCCCGCCCCCCACAGGAGGGTCTTGGCGCCGGCCGCGCCTGCGCCCCTTCCAGCCCCTGGGGTGCGCAGTGACCCCTGCCGGGCGCGCTGCTCCGACCGAGGCAGGGCTGACGTTTACTCACTCACTCACTCACTCACTCACTCACTCACTCACTCACTCACTCATTCCATTCATCCATCCATCCAATCACGCATGGACTCTGCCCCTTTGGCAGACTTTTTCCGTCTAGCTTCCTCTCCAAGACCGTAACCCATAACACAGCCTTTGTTGAAAGAATGTTTGCCCGGCAAATGCAGCCTCTAGACAAATTCCCCATCTCCCCTCCTCCATTTCATACCCTCCTCTTTGGAAACACTGGTCGTCCCCACTGCACCTGTCCCCACCCGTCCTGACCCAGGGGGAGGCTTCAAAGCCAAGTGCCTAACTGCTTGCCTGCATCCTGCCTCCATCCACGTCTCTTTCATTCAACATCATTCTTCTTCCTTCATCTTTCATTCCTGTAGAACCTTCCTGAGGGTCTCTGGGGATGTGTGCTAAGGATGCTGGAGTAGAGCAATAAGGGCAGCCTGCAGCCTCGGTTAGTGAGGGCCACGCACTGCTGCCCAGTTCTCCCCTATCCGGGAGGACCTAGTGTGGTGGGCGGAGCTGGGGCGGGTGTCTGGAGGCTCCTGACAAGACTGCCCCTGCAAAGCATCACTGGTATGGTGTAAGACCAGGGGCTCGCGTTACTGCAGCATTGCTTGTTACCCAAGTCCTGGGTCTTCCCTACTGTCCCTGGGCCAGACGGGACAGGAGACAATACCCAGCAACACACATACACACAGCCTGGCTTTTGGTTCTAGAGTTGGGATGGCGGGGGAAGTCAGGAGAGTCTGAAGGCTTACTGGCGACAGTCTGAAGTCCTCCACTGACCCCTCCTACCTGTCAGGGCTTGAGTGGCTGCGTTGAGGCCTGGGTGTCACATCCCAGACTCCACCACCCTTGTTCAGGTCTTGGATGAATTCATCAGACTTGAGAACAAACATGTTAAGAAGGAAGTTTGAACTGATGCTAAGGCTGTGGTCCTGGGGAACTGGGAGAGGGAAAGGGAGGGTGGAAGAAGATGGTTTGGAGACAAATTTGGTTTAGAAGAGAGTCGGAGAGAAAGGGGCTATGGACTCTTGTCAACCAGCTCCAAGAACTCTTAGATGAATCTTGGTGTTTGAAGAAGTCAAGTCCCAGCCCTTGGTTAGACTCCCACTCAGCATCCCCAACATACATTCCTCCATTTGGAACTTGCTTCTGGGGGAGCCTGGGTGGCTCAGTTGGTTGAGCATCCAACTCTTGATTTTGGATGAGCATCCAACTCATCATCACAGGTCATGATCCCAGGATTGTGGGATTGAGCTCGAGATTCTCTCTCTCTCCCTGTCCCTAACTCTCACTCTTTCTCTCTAAAAATTAAAAAATAATAAAAAATAGTTTCCCAAGTGCCCCTGCATATCAAACATTGTATCAATCCCTGTGGCAGAAGATAGAAAGCCATAAGATGCAATTCTGCAACCGAGGACCTAATCACATTAAACCTTCCACCTGCCAAACTCTCGTAATGTTTATGAAATTTACCCTTACTTTGTTCTTTTTCATTGCTGAGTAATATTCCATTTTGTTAACATATTGCAGTTGTCTATCCAATTTCCTGGTTATGGACATTTGGGTTGCTTTCCATCATTGGCTATAGTGACAAAGCTGCTGTGAACATTTGTGTACGCAGCATTTTTGGTTGACATTTATTGTCAATTTTTCTTGAGTAAATAGCATCACAAAGGGTGAGGTGGGAATGGTCCATTCTAGCAGACAGGCATATTTTATCACATGACATTGTTTAGAAATAATATAAAGTGAGGCAAGTTTTGGTTGGTTTCATTTCATTATTGTTTTTAAATACTCCACAGACATTGCACCCTCTTGCTGCCTGACCTGGCTCAGACCAGCCACATTACCCTGTCCTCCACCTTGATAACCTACTGCCTAGGAATGGGATTATATCATTTTACACTCCCACCAGCAATGTTCCAGTGGCTCCACAACTTCACCAACATTTGGTACTGTCAGTCAGTCTAATTTTAGGAATTTTAGTTTATATAACAAGTTGTATCTTATTGTGCTTTTAACTTGCATTTCCTTGATGACTAATGATGTTGAGTATGTTTTCTTATGGTACTGATCATTTGTATAACGTCTTTTGTGAAATGTCTGCTGAAGTCTTTTGGTCATTTTATTTTTATTTTTTTTTTTATGTTTTATTTATTTCTAAGAGAGAGAGAGACAGCATGAGCAGGGGAGGGTCAGAGAGAGAGGGAGAGACAGACTCTGAAACAGGCTCCAGGCTCTGAGCTGGCAGTCAGCACAGAGCCCGATGCGGGGCTCGAACCCACGAACCGCGAGATCATGACCTGAGCGAAAGTCGGACGCTTAACCGACTAAGCCACCAGGCGCCCCTTCTTTTGGTCATTTTAGAAGTTAGATTGTCTTTTCTATGATCGATTTGTAGGAGTTCATTGCATATTCTGGAGACAAGTCCTTTGTCATATATATATTTATTGTGACTATATCCTCTCAAATTGTGACTGGTCTTTTCATTCTCTTAACTTCGTCTTATGGTGAGCAGAAGTTTATAGTTTTGATACAGTTCAATATATCAGTTTTTAATTTTATGGTTAGCACTTTCAGCATTTTGTCTAAAAAATTCTTTGCCCACCCTGAAATTGTGAAGATGTTTGAATATGTTTTCTTTTAGAAACTTTGTAGATTTAGACTTTACATAAAAGTCTATGGTCTATTTTTAGTTGTTTTTTGTGTTCAGGAGTTGAGGTTATGTTTTGTTTTGCTTTCTATATGGTTATCTAGATGTTCCGGGATCATTTGTTTAAGAAATTCCTTTCTCTATTGGATTTCCCTGGCACTTTTTTCAAAATCAGTTGACACTTTATATGTTGGCTTATTTCCGGACTCTGTTCTGTTACATTCTTCTATTTTTTTTTCCTTATGCCAATTCACATTATCTTGACCATAGATTTCTAGTAAGTCTTAAATCAGGTAGTATAAATCTTGTTCTTCTTTTTCAAGATAATTCTGGCCCCTCTAGATCCATACAAACTTTAAAATTGGCTTATCAATCTCTACAAAACAAAACCTGTGAAGTATAAATTGGGTTTGAATTGAATCTAGAGAGCAATTTGGGGGAAATTGATGTCTTAACAATATTGAATTTAAGCCCATGAACATGGCAGATGTGTTTGTTTAGCTCTTCTTTAATTCCTTTCGCCAATGTTTTATAGGTATCAGTGCAGAGGTTTGCATATCTTTTGTTGGATTTATTCGTAAGTGTTTTATGTTTTTGATGCTATTGCATTTATCAGTTATGTCATTTTCTAATTCTTTACTGGTAGTATATAGACATACAATTGATTTCGGCAAATTGATCTTGTATTTTGCAAATTTAATATATTTCTTTTCACAGTATTTTTATAGATTCCTTGGGTTTTCTAAAATATATTCATGCCATCTGAGAACAAAGACAGATTTACTCTTTTTTCTCATTTTTTATGCCTTTCCCTCCCCCCTCCCCAGCCTTATTGGTTAGGACTCTAGTATAGTGTTGAATAAAAGTGGCAAGAATGCACATCTTCACCTCGTTTCTCATCTTAGGAGGGAAAATGTTCAGTATTTCATCATGATTGTAATTTAGTTATAGGTTTTTCAAAGATGCCCTTTGTATTAGTTTCCCAGGGCTGACATACAGGCTGACATCACAACTTGGGTGGCTTAAAACAAGAAATTTATTGTTTCAAGGTTCTGGAAGCCCTAAAGTCCAAAATCAAGGTTTCAGTAGGATTATGCTTCCTTTTACACTTGTAGGGGAGAATTTTCCTTGCCTCTTCTAGCTTCTGGTATGTTGGCAACCTTGGCATTACTGACTTATAGATAGATCACCCCGATCTTTGCCTCCATCATCACATGGCTTGCTTCTGCCTGTGTCTCTGTTTTCACATGGTATTTTCCTCTTCTTAGAAGAACACCAGTCATATTGGATAGAGTTCACTGTAATGACCTCATCTTAACTTTATTATATCTGAAAAGACCCTATTTCCAAATATAGTCACATGTACAAGGTGTTAGAATTTCAACATGTCTCTTTGGAGGACACAATTCAACCTGTAACATACTTAATAAAATTGAGGAAATTCTCTTTTTTTTCCCCTAGTGTGCTGAGAGTTTTAATCACGAATGGATATTGCATTCGGTCAGATATATTTTCTTCACCATATGGTTTTCGTCTTTTATTATGAATTTACTAATTGATTCTTGAATATTAAAAAAGCCCTGTATTCTTGGAATAAACCTCACTTGTACTGATCTCTTTATATATTACCAGAGTCAATTGGTTGATATTTCATTAAGTTTTTTGTTTGTTTTGTTTTTTATCTATGTTCATGAGGGCTATTGGTCTCTCTTTTCTTGTAATGCCAGGTTTTGGTATTAGGGTTATGCTGACTTCATAAAATAAGTTAGGGAGTCTCCCAGCCCCCCCCCTTTTTTTTTCCTGGGGAAGTTTGAGATTGGTGTTATTTCTTCTTTAAAATATTTGGCATAATTCACCAATAGAGGCATGGGGATCCAGCATCTTTATTATGGGTGGGCATTTAATTATGGATTCAGGGGCACCTGGGTGGCTCAGTTGGTTGAGCGCCAACTTTGGCTCAGGTCGTCATCTCATGGTTTGTGGGTTCGAGCCCCGCATCGGGTTCTGTGCTGACAGCCAGTTCAGAGCCTGGAGCCTGCTTCAGATTCTGTGTCTCCCTCTCTCTCTGACCCTCTCCTGCTCATGATGTCTCTCTCTCTCTCAGAAATAAATAAAACATGAAAAAAAAATGATGGATTCAATTTCTTTA